TCCCTCTCTGTGTACTTATACCAAGCTGTCTAGGCTTTGCCATTTCCCTCTCTGTGTACTTATAGCAAGCTGTCTAGGCTTTGCCATTTCCCTCCCTGTGTACTAATACCAAGCTGTCTAGGCCTTGCCCTTTCCCTCTCTGTGTACTTATACCAAGCTGTCTAGGCTTTGCCCTTTCCCTCCCTGTGTACTTATAGCAAGCTGTCTAGGCTTTGCCCTTTCCCTCCCTGTGTACTTATAGCAAGCTGTCTAGGCTTTGCCATTTCCCTCCCTGTGTACTAATACCAAGCTGTCTAGGCTTTGCCATTTCCCTCCCTGAGTACTTATAGCAAGCTGTATAGGCTTTGCCCTTTCCCTCCCTGTGTACTTATAGCAAGCTGTCTAGGCTATGCCCTTTCCCTCTCTGTGTACTTATAACAAGCTGTCTAGGCTTTGCCCTTTCCCATACTGTGTACTAATACCAAGCTGTCTAGGCTTTGCCCTTTCCCATACTGTGTACTTATAGCAAGCTGTCTAGGCTTTGCCCTTTTCCATACTGTGTACTTATAGCAAGCTGTCTAGGCTTTGCCCTTTCCCTCTCTGTGTATCTATACCAAACTATCTAGGCTATGCCCTTTCCCATACTGTGTACTTATAGCAAGCTGTCTAGGCTTTGTCCTTTCCCATACTGTGTACTTATAGCAAGCTGTCTAGGCTTTGCCCTTTCCCATACTGTGTACTTATAGCAAGCTGTCTAGGCTTTGCCCTTTCCCATACTGTGTACTTATACCCAACTGTCTAGGCTTTGCCCTTTCCTTCCCTGTGTACTTATATCAAGCTGTCTAGACTTTGCCCTTTCCCATACTGTGTACTTATACCCAACTGTCTAGGCTTTGCCCTTTCCTTCCCTGTGTACTTGTATCAAGTTGTCTAGACTTTGCCCTTTCCCATACTGTGTACTTATACCCAACTGTCTAGGCTTTGCCCTTTCCTTCCCTGTGTACTAATATCAAGCTGTCTAGACTTTGCCCTTTCCCTCGCTGTGTTCTTATTCCAAGCTGTCTAGGCATTGCCCTTTCTCTCTCTCTGTACTTATACCAAACTGTCTAGGCTTTGCCCTTTCCCTCTCCGTGTACTTATACCAAGCTGTCTAGGCTTTGCCCTTTCCCTCTCTGTGTACTTATACCAAGCTGTCTAGGCTTTGCCCTTTCTCTCTGTGTGTACTTTTACCAAGTTGTCTAGGCTTTGCCCTTTCTCTCTGTGTGTACTTTTACCAAGTTGTCTAGGCTTTGCCCTTTCCCTCTCTGTGTACTTATACCAAGTTGTCTAGGCTTTG